CAGTGAAACTCTGCTGAAAAAGTACGGTCAAACATTCCCATACCAAAGACAGGGCTAATACATTGGCTATATACTTGCCCTTTGAGGTCCCAAGTAATGACTGAACTGTTAGACAAATGCAGGGTTTTGCTGATGTGCATGTTGCAATACTGAGTTTCTCTGCACAATCACACCTGTGATATTTTTAGTCAAAAAAGGGGCATACAGCTGGAAGCATACTAGTAATGAAATGGGTCTGTCAGCATGCTAGGCGGTAAAACAATCTTGTTTTCTCCTTTGCTGCCTTGAAAGCCAGTATTTATGTGTTTATACTTAAACACTGCTTCTGTGTATCTATCTGCAATATCCATGTTTGATGAACAACGGGAGACTTAATTTACACGCTTCTGCAACAAGAGAGATGCAGAATGGATCAACTCACCTGCTAACACATGCATTATTTGGGCCACACTAATACTGGTTAAACAACAGGTAACTTTTTTCCTATTTCCTATAAATTACTGCTGAGTTACTTTTTTTAACTTCATCTCTCATCCTTTTGGATGTTAAAACCTGATTATTTTTTCAGGATCAAAACGTGGGTTTTTTCATGGAAGTAGACCTAATCATTAACTGATTAACCATTGATACAATAGGTTTCTTATTTAACAAATACAAAACACTGTTACCGCCTGTCTTTGCTAGCGCAAGAAGGTAGCGTGGATTTTTTGCAAACATTTTTGGCTCAGACATTCTTGGAACACTCAAGAGGATCTGCCTTGGTCCAGTCTATCAGGCTGTCACCTGTTACACTACACTCATGGATCAGCACCAGAGAACTTCTTAATAGCAAACAGGATTGAAAATGTATACTGATGGCTAATTTGCTAAAAGCTTACTGAAGAACTCATAAGCAAGTCATTACTAGCACTGGTCTTTCTATGAACACTTGGTTTGAGGGTACCGAAGCATGCGTTGCCTGAAAATATCGCAATCATTTGCACACACACGTCATGAGTTGATGATTCCATCCTGCCCTCCATCCTAAAACATCAGCAGCTCCAAGCCATCATGTAAGAATCCATGTAAAAGGACAGAGCGTGGAGTCCTGCCACTTTCAGAAGATAGGGATGCTTCTTGTCGGCACAAGCGCACTACATTTGTGTTTAGCTTTACTCTCTGCTTGTAAAATTTGTTCATGTATTGTTAACTCACAATTAGATTTATTAGTCACACATAATAATAGGAATTGATGCAGTAGCCTACTATCCTATTTTTCCAGACCATTTTTTGACCATTATTTTCTCTCAGACAGATATTGGCAGTACGTTACATAAATAATAGTGGAAATATACCAAACATCCACACTGACCATCTCTGTCCTTATTCTCTTGCAGGAAAGCAGAGAGTTCAGCCTGCAGAGAACGTTCCTACTGCTACCTCTACTCCTATAACTTTCTTAGCTCTTAGAAGCTTCTGCTTTTCAGAGAATATCCTGTATGTTAAGCTAACTAAAAAAATCTCTAATTCTCTTTCATGAGAACCTGGTGATTCTCATTTGTCTCAAGGGTAAGGGCCACAAATTTATGCACGCTTCGGTTCCAGAGCCCTGTTGAAAAGCTGAAGCTGGTTCTGAAGTCAAAATATCACCTAAGTTGAACAATTTATCTTCTTTATAGCTGAGGCCAGCACATTCTGACTGTGCATCATATGATGGAGGAAGCTATTTGCTGCATTGGGCTTCACCTGCCTTACTATTAACAAAAGACATCCTTCTTACATTGCTGGCCTATCTTCTTGAATCCACACTTCCTTCCTGGCTTTGCTTCTCTCACGCTGAGAACTTTGAAGCAGATCCCCCTCTGTGCATTGATCAGAAAGATGAAGAGAAACAACCTTTCCACTATAAGACTTCAGTCAGTTAAAAATACAGAAAATCCAATACAGCACTCTATCCATATCCTAGGGTATTATTTTACATGAGGGAAGCACAGAACAGAAAATAAACCAGCTACGAAAAGAGGCAGAGAAAAACAAAGAAACAAGTCAGAACAAAAATACAGCAGTTTAAGGTAGGAATACTGCTGAGGTAAGGCAAATTTTGTCCAAGTTGAGGTTATATTACTCTGCTCAGTCTCAACAGCAGGTCTCAGTCTTTCCTTTGTAAAAAATGCACTGATGTTTCTGAAACATAAAATATAAACATTAAGCACACCTGGAGTTCTTCACTGTTTAGCTGAGGATGGCATTCATACTGTAGAAGCTCCAGCTTCACCACTTCGGTAGCTGCTCCCTCCTTCTGGACACTAGATCATTTCACTATCCGTCTGCATGAAATCTAACCCCTCAGGACCTGTCACTCATACGAGGACACACTCGTTCCCACTCCAAAATTGTAGAAAAAAACATGGCAAGAGAAATACTAGGGATATATACACCACCTTTTTTCATATTTATTTAATAATTATTGTATGGAAGGTCATGGTGAACTTTTGGCTTAAAAAGCTAATTCAATTGAGTAACGGTATGTGCACGCTTGCACACTATTCTTTTAATAGAAGCTTTTTGAAGCACACGGACAACATTACTGGAAATATGCAGAAGAAAGAAATGCCAATATCCCTCATCCAGTTCTAGTTCCATATTCTTTATGTTTCAATGGGATGGAGAATCTAAACCTTGCAACTGCAATGCTTGCAAACAGAGTCATAGACTTTATTATGGCCAACAAGAACATAAGTACAGAGACTATTTTTTGAAGTGACGGGGCTGGCAGGGTGATGGAAGTACTGAAAACATACAGCAAGAGACACAGTAAAACAAACAAAAAACCCCACCAAACCAAACCTTTAAGGAGTATTCTATGAAGCTGACAGTCCAGACCTAACTTTGTTGAGTTTGTATAGCTTTTGGAGAGATCTTTCTAGGTTAATCCTGGATTAAACAAACATTTAAACATTTCACCTATCATGAAAACAATAAAATATAAGGATACTGGAACAGAAGCCAGAGTGGCAGGCTTACTGAGGAAAAGAACTAGCAAAGGGAAAAATAACACAGTCAAAGTCTGGTTCTGCCATCAGTGTCCCTGTTATATGATGCCACTACACAGAAGTAAAGGTGTGACTGTACTTGAACAAGCTCTTTTGTATTTGCTTGGGTAATAATAGTATATAAGATACAGTGCTGTGATTTGGCACAGACTAACCACACATTTACATAAAGTAAGGCCTGCTTATAGATGCTACAGAAATACACCAAATAAAGAGAGCAAGCAGAGCTCAAGTGATACAACAAGCACTTGTACATTTTTGGGGGATGAGGAACATAAACAGCCTTTTACTCTACTAAAATTAAGAGCATTATTTTCCATCACAGAGAGATGCGTTTCAAAAACCAGCAAAGGCCTCTGTAATTTTTTTAAAAACAAAAGAAAACAAGAAGAGAAATATAAGAAACAGGTACAAAATAGAGAGGAAAGGCTGAGATGAATTTTATTTCACAACACAGAAGAATTAAGAAGAAGGAAAGTGTACTGAAATAAAGAAAAGCACTAAAGGAAAATAAGGAAAACCAACATTTTAATGTACTGTAATTACTTATTCCACTACTGCCTTTTTCCACATTTTATTGATGATGTTTCATGGATCATCAATAAAGTAACACTATAAAAAGCCCTAGAATCTTATTTCCTTCTGGTGTTTGTGCTAGATTGACAGTAACTAGTCCATGACAAAGGGGCAACCAGTTCAGCTTGAAGACTCAATGCAAGAGCAAAGGGGGGAAAATAATTTTTAAAGAAATCAATAATAATGTGCTAAGTTTGAAAGGAACACCAAGTGAAACAAATGAATAAACAATTAGTTTAAGGGTAACAGTATTTTCAAAGCAAATGGACTATTTCTGTTACCAAGAAGATAGGGCATTTGACAGCTAGTAAGACAGCAAGGCATCCAGCTTCCAAACAATAAAAGGTGAGAGTTAATATTACACTAATGAGCCACAAGCATACTGCTGGCTTGTTTTTTATTAACACTAATAGATGAGCTCATAATACTGTTCAGAAGTGCTTTTTTTTTTTTCTCCACACATCTCACAAAAGAATTTCAGCTGACAAGTACTATGGTACACATGGCAGAAACAAACAGCTGTGGCCACAAAGATGTTTTGTTAACTGATGGTTAATATATTCAGGAAGCAATCACACTATTCATTAGTAAAAGTTTACAAACATTAAAAAGTGCATAACATTTGAAACCAACAACAACACAAAAATATATATAATATTTATATACTGTATATAAAGAAAGTGACATCACCTCCTGTTAATAAAAGAAAATAAATCTTCTGACTTTGTGATTGGTGCTTATGTGATTGCCACGGTTTACTAGTCACTCTCTTTATTCACCTTAGTCACACAAAGGTGTGGCTGCCCCATTTTGCAGTACAGAGCCTCATGTATGGCCTCTTCTGTTGGGGCAGGATGGGGGGAAGGAAACCAATCAGCATAGCTGCTGCAGAGTATGTTATTAATTTCTAGATACTTTAAGTAATCCCCTGGATGGAAAACCTATCCTGGTATTTCAATGAATGTCCAGTGATTTTAGAATTGCGGAAATGGGAGAAATCCAGTCTTTTGGGTGCTAGATGCCAAGTCTCACTTCTGTCTCCACATCCCAGCCAAAAGGCTGCTGTAGCAGCCTCCGGCACTTAGCTGTACCTGGTGCATCAGTAACAGGCTACTGGCTGTACAAACACAACAGCCTGATCAACTGAGGCAAAGGCAAGGAATATGAAAAATAGTCCCCCTGGATGAATCCAGCCCATGATCCACTAGCTGGACTATCCTGCAATCTAAAACTCATTCCAGAACACATAACTGGCAATAACCTATGATAGTTGTTCGCCTGTGTGCAAACAACACCCATCTTCAACCATGTGAACCAGGAAAATCTCTAGCACCATGGAATTTGTTTGAATTTTAACCCATATAAGGTTATAAATGTATTCTTAAAACTACCATAACAATAAAATACTTGGACTAACATTTAAAAAAATATCTTGGAGAAAGATTAAGAAATTGGGAGTAAAATTAGAAAAATGGGGAAGAAAAACACAAAAGATTCAATTTGAGTCTCCGATATGCAACTAACTACAGGCAAGTGGCAAAACTGTACCAAGGACACAAAACACGCTGAAGTATTCACATTAACAAATCGTTTTGAAGGCTCATCTAGTAACAAATTAAGAGTGTTGCTGAGTCATTTAGATTTAGGCATATTCAATTTAGCAGTTGACGTTTTAAATCTATCATGTGCATATCACCACATTATGAAAAAAACCAGCCCTTTCAAAACGCGTGGTAGAAAAATTCACAGTAACAGAAATATTCTTCATAAGCAGTTGAGAAGGGGCAGTGTGGAGCATCTAAGTTGTACAATACAAAAACCATTGTAAATAACAGAGCTGTAAAACAGACGTAAAATTCTAAAAACAGTGCTTTCTTTACAGTTCTTTTAATGGGTGAACACTTTGGCCAGAGAATTTTAAACTCTGAGGATCACACAAGCCTTTGCTTAAGATACACAATTAGATCCTCTGATGTTTCAAAGGCCATTTGCTACAAGATTTACCTGTTCTACTTTTTAAAAGTGTTCCCATCAAGTAGTCATTATGAAGGGATCCATCTGATGACACTATCCCAAAAAATCAATACATGTTCAACCATTGCTAATGACAGAGGTAGAGAAAATTCTGTCTTCTGCCACAGCTTGTACCCTCATTTTTAGCATTGTGCTGAGTGGGTTCCAGCAGTGAAGACACATGCACTTTCTTTTCTACCAGCTTGCTCATGGAAACAAATTTATTCCAGTATGCTCTCGTAGTCTGAAAACATCCAGCAGCTGCTCCAGTCGGTCAAAGTCGGATGTCAGCTTTCTTGCTTTGCTGCCTCCCCTTGGGCCTCTCCGGTTTGCTCACTTGGATTTCGTTGTGCATCTCCTTCTCCTTCTATAACATATAAGAAAAGGACAAGTGATCCACCCTGAAACAAAGAGCTCTCACTCCCAGAACCCCAACTGTTCATCTACCAGTCTCAAAAAGAAAGTAAAGAGAAACAGAAACTGGAATCTTGCAAAAAACATGACACCTTTTACTACTAAGATAGCCATACTTTGCATCTCAAGAGACACCTTGAAAAACAAAGTCCTAGCTGCAATCACCACTATCATTTTAAGTACAGACCAAAATTAGCTAAAAATGAAAGAATGTAACAAAAATAGTAGGGTATTTTGACTATTTATTCACTATGATGCTAGGACAATGTAAGAGAAAAAAACCTCATTACACCAAGTCTGAACAGAGTTCACCATAAAGAGATGCAACTTCAATAAAAGCAACAGTTTATTAAAACTGTGCTTGTTCTGTGCACCCCTATTCAGTACCATGCCACGCGGCGTCAAGTCCAGCTGTCTCACTGCAAACCACAGAACGATCTGGGGAATAGCTCTGTGGAGAGGGACCTGGGTGTCCCAGTGGAAGACAGGTTAACCATGAGCCAGCAGTGTACCCTGGCTGCCAAGAAGGCCAATGGCCTCCTGGGGTGCGTTAGGAGGAGTGTGGCCAGCAGGTCAAGGGAGGTTCTCCTCCCCCTCTACACTGCCCTAGTGAGGCCTCATCTGAAGTACTCTGTCCAGTTCTGGGCTCCCCAGTTCAAGAAAGATGAGGAGCTACTGGAGAGAGTCCAGCGGAGGGCTAGGAGGATGGTGAGGGGACTGGAGCATCTCTCCTACAAGGAGAGGTTGAGTGAGCTGGGCTTGTTCAGCCTGAAGAAGAGAAGGCTGAGAGGGGACCTAATATATGCTTACAAATATCTGAAGGGTGGGTGTCAGGAGGATGGGGCCAGACTCTTTTCAGTGGTGCCCAGCGACAGGACAAGGGGCAATGGGCACAAACTGAAGCACAGGAAGTTCCATCTGAACATGAGGAAGCCTGGACAAGGTCCTGTGGAGCCTGCTGTAGGTGACCCTGCTTTGGCAGGGGGATTGGACTCGATGACCCACAGAGGTCCCTTCCAACCCCTACCATTCTGTGATTCTGTGATTCTGTAACAGAACACATCTTGCAGTGGCGCAGTGAGCAGACGACTCATAAAGCCTGTCTAATGAAGGCCAAGAAGTGCATTGACAATGGTCTAATACAGTGCAAAGTACTGTATTTCACCTAACGATGAGAGACCTAACAGGTTCAGACAGCTGGAAGCTAAGTGCAAGTAAGAACGAAGTCCCTGAACACGGTACTAATTAGCTATAGGTACATAATAAGGAGTAAAGACGTAAGTTGTCTCTTGTACCTTGCAAGGATTTTGAGTAATTTGTATTGCATGGGCTTGATAGAGTAGTTAAGAAAATTCCATGGACTAAGTTATAAAGAGGTCTAAGTAGAGGTAGTAGTGCCTCTTAACTTTAGATCCCTTTTGCCCAAGTTATCCGAGCACTTTCTACAAAGCCTCCTACATTTGTTCTGATACTGCAAAAGTCTAGATGAGTGGAATCTGACTTTTTGATTCCTTTTTTGCCTGCTCTGGACTCCATTTATTCTGAGTACAAGGAATACTTTAATATCACTCATACTGTATAGGCAAATCAAGTTTTCCTGAAAGAATTTTTATTTAAAAAGAAAAAAAAAAGACAAAAAAAGAGACAAAACTGAAGACAGAAAAAAACCTTGCAAGGTATTTGTGTTGAAAATAAATATCATTCTGGACACAAAGCCTAAACATTTCACTACCTAAATGTTAAACATAGTGCACAAAGATTCAAAGAAAGCACACTAAGGTTCCAATACACCACTTCTTAAAAGATTTTTCTCAACTCACTGAAAAAAATCTCACTAGTCTAAATCCATTTAACCTATAATACACTGTCTTGGTAATACAGACTTTGTTTTTCTGCTGTCAGAGCTCTCCTACTAAAGGCTTTAAAATACATTTACAAAAATAATTTTCCTTCTAGGTTCTGAGAATCCGAATTGCCTAAGCACAATCTTGAACTACTCTTCCTTCAAAACATGAATGCTACAAGCTCTTACGAGTTGCGATTCTTACACAGCATTTTGAAACAACAGGCTACTGCCTATTAAAAAAAACCCAAATCAAATAATATGATACTGTAAGCCATAATACAGTTGTGTGAGTTGGTAAGCTAGCAACAGCTACTAGCTCTGCTAATGTACACCTTTTAACTCATTTTTTTTTCTGTAACATTACTGACTCGTCAAGTGTTCGTCAGTGTTCCCAGTGCTTACACCTAAAACATTTCTACTGTGGACTAAAATCACTTTTAATCACAAATTTCTATAATCACTGCTTCATTCCAGTTTTGTATGACTTTAACGCCTCTGTATCCCCAGGTTTTTGCACATGGTTGGACCATTAGAACTTTTACAAGGAAGTCTCCTTTCCACTTCTGCACTGTGTGTTCTGTGGCATATCTGCAGACACCTAAAAAATCAGCAGTTTGTTTCAGAGATTACACTGGCAGAGACTGGTCTTCATTCTTCATTGTACTTTTTCCTTTACTGGTCTATTTAGCTATGATCACTTGTAAGATGATCCAAATATAAATATGCTTGGGTAGCTTAATTTACATACGTTTTATCATAACCTCTTTTTTTAAAATCTGCATTATCCTACTTTGTCATTACTCCATGCAGCTGAAAGCAAGCATATTTGCATGTTTGCAAAAAAATGCATATAGCAGTAGTAAGAATAAAAGAAAAAAAAAGCAAAACTTGATGTCTATATTTATACAATTAGGTAGTACTTAGCATAAATTGTTTGATGTGAATATTGAAAGAAATAAGATATAACCCCCAAACATGTGTTTTCCTTTTAATCCTGTCAGGTGTGATGCATATATGCATCCCACAAGCACTAGTATATTGTGAATTGGAATCTGGGATGCAAAACATATTTTAGTCTCTCTTTGGTTTGGAAAGACATGATGGGATAATTCACTAATACTCATAGGAACGATAATAAAATGCATTTTCCAATATTTGGTATTTGGAGGCTTTTATCTGGCACCTAGGTGTACTAATAATATAAAATTTTAAAATATTTTCATTATAGCAAATTCAAACTGCCTAACCTTCTGAAGAAGTATGCTAGGCATTATTGCCTATCTACTACCTAAGGTAATTTTATGAGCAACTCTATGCTTTTCTGCAATGATTAAGTTACTCAAGCTGCAAAAGAGGTCTCCAAGAAAAACTAAACAGGCTCCTGAATTATGTATTAAAATTATGCTAACAGTTATTTAAACCATTCTCATCACTACAGAGCTAACTGCATGTACAAAATGCATACCAACATATACTACAGTCACAAAGTCAGACTCTTTTTGTAGCTCACAAAAGAACACAGTTCCGGCTTACAAACTGCAACAGCTTAACTTAAAGTAGGGATTGTTTATATCTTCTAAATGGACAAGATCAAAGACAATTTTGATAAGTGTAAATTTGACACCAAAGAAAATTAAAGCAAGAAGGAAGGTTGGCATTATGCATTTCAAATGCCACCTACTTTAAATTTTTCCAACATTTTACATGTGTCCCCACATTAAAATAAATAGACACGCCTACACACATACTAATAAAGCTCTTCTTTTTAAATAGAAAAGAAAATTAAAGGCCCTGACCAGCTAGAATTGCATGCATCTAGAAGCTATAGGCCGTAAAGTGGCAACTGCAGAAGGAAGGACTTAAGATGTACATTAGTCTGAAAGACACAAAAAGAATCCCCGCCTCCAGCCAGCACTACAACCACTCAAATGTCACAATGCCCACATGTGATTGCCCAGTGATGAGACTGTCTCTCAGAACTCTTGCCATTGTCCCTGAGAAAAATGCGTGCACAGGGCAGCTGCCTATTAACGGTTTGTTCTTTGCTGCATTTGTTTTCTTCTGCTGTTATTAAACTAAGCATAAGACCACTTTCCCAAGATCTGAAAAGGGCTTTCAATATCTGTAAGATCCATTCGTTAACTCCCACCTGTGTAACATGAAAATAATTACACAGCCATATTACTATTTTTATTTAACATAAGGCCCTTCACCATACACTGTCCCTCCTTCCTCTCAACTGAAGGTGCACAACCAGCTAAAAATTTTCATAATGCTAGAGGTAAAGTAAGATTTAGGATTGCATTAGTACTAACCACCTTAGAAGAAAGACAAAGTATTAGCAGAAAGGGGAAAGAGAGAATATATCCAGAAACAGAGATCCAAGTAAAACAAAAACCAATGCATTGCTATTGCTCTGTCCTCTAGCAGCTGAAAACAAAATTAATCTCCACAATAACCTTTCAAGCAGACACACGGCTTCTGCTACAGGCTTCAAACCAAAGAGCTTCTGTTAAAGTATATTATGAAGAGTTAGGCTTTAATAAAGACTTCCTTATTTTCTTCCTTATACTTGATTTTCCAGAAAATTTATCCTGACATGGACCCTGCCACTAGGCACTCACTGCAGAATGACTTTTCTTTTTTCAGTAATATGTTGTATTTGCAAATAACCGCATTTAACATTTATGAAACCTGGGCTTCTTATTGCAGGCAACCCCTGCTGATCTTCCATTATCAGAAAAAAATATTGTTGTTGCTGAGGGACAAGGGAATAAAGCGTGCACATAAACCATGTTTTGTGTACTATTCATTTTAGTTTTAAATAAATATAATAAAAGACAAAAATTTACTCACCTGCTTTGTTTATATCAAGCTCTGACAACTTTAAGGCTAATTCACTAGAGTTCCCATCTGGAGAGGACACAAGGAGTTCATGTACTGCATTTCTTCTACCTGTTCTTCCTGATGCAATAAAGTCTGCATATATAGATTCCACATCAGTCATTGCTAACAAATATCCACATAGCAGTACCTGGATAGAAAAAAAAAAAGAACAACACTTAGAACACTAGAAAAACAGATGATGTTATGGAATGGGAATAGAACAACTAGAGTGTTCTCACTGCAGAGTAGACTGGCTGGGCAGTAAGCAGCAAAAGAAGATGCCTCAGTCTCAAAATTTGGAGAAATTAGAGAACAAAGAAAGAAGAAAGCAAAAAAAGGTGTGTGGATTTTATGCAATCTGTATTCAACAGCATTTTTAAACAACTTCTTTTTTCATACTTCATAAAGTGCTAGTGAGTACTTTATAAAAGCAATGACCTCAGCAACATAATTTCTGTATAGAGCTGTCTCTGCTTTTAATATTAGCTGGGAAGTAGGAGGTAGGTAGGGGGTGGAACAAAGTTCTTTTCTGCACAAAAAGCAGAGTGTAAGGACTAAGAAAGTACAAATCGATACTGCTTTTGGCATGCAAAGCACAGTGCTCATACACAGGCACAGCTATGTTTTGTATCTTTTCCTTTCTGTTAGTATGATTAGTTCTGGCATTGTATACAGACCTCTTCACACTCAACTAATTTATTTTGGTATGGTAGTTGCACTCAAGTGAATGCATTACCATAAAGTCCCTAATACTAGTAGAGACATGCTAACAGGGCTAGCAGAATAGCTACACTATAATGCAGAGGTTAGAAAGCAATGGTCTGTAACCTAGATAGAAGCTCAGAACTTCATTTCACTAGAAAATAATTATTTCTCATGTTATAATGGAATAACGTGATGATGTGCATCCATGTAAGATCTTCCAAAGACACAAGCAAACTCCTGTTTCACCCTCAGTAAAAGAATGATTTGCATCCCTGCTGGAGTATCTGCTGTATCTGCTATAGATAGAACTTAGTCGGATTTTTTTCTTTTCCTTAATTTGTTGCATTTAAACCAGACTGATCACGCTGCTTTTACTGTAGCCCCATTTGTACTAAGGTTTTCTGCAAAAAGCTAGGGTACCATGCTTCAAATGTAGCTTTCCTCACATTTTATGTTTGGAGGTAGTAGGGGAATCAGCGAAGCTTTCTGGTAGAGCAGTACTCCAACGAAAAGCAGCACCAAGGAGCCACTAAACAGCAACAGCCACAGCTGTATGCTTCCTTCATTTCTAAGCAGTATTTTTGTGGTTTTGCATACTGCAGAGAGTGGACACTGCCATAAGGGCAACATTGTGCAGCTGCTGAAGCAGTGAGAAACTTTAGCTATTATTACTAAAGTAGCTGAAACATCACATTTGCACAGAGTGTACAAATCTTTTTAATTGTTCCTACTGCAGTTGCAGGACACTGAACAAGCCCCTAAAGTCATCACAAACACTAACAGCAGCAAAAGATTCAGCTTTCTCTATTTAAACAACAACAAAAAAAACCACTAAGTTTTTATAACCACTTTTTATTTTAAAAATAGATACATAAAAGGCAACGGCCAACCCTTCCCCAGTCTCAACTCTGAATAACTTCACAAATCCTGTCCATTCTTCATCTTCATTCCAGTTGTCACCTCCCCAACTTCAGACAGCTGTTTGAGGGTGTACATATGATGTGTCTGAGAAGCCAAGAAAGGGGTTCTACACCATATTTTATTTAGTCTAAATATAACTATATCAAGTATCATTGCAAGACTGACTGACTTTAAAGTTCATTGCTATCAAGCTTTGGTATCCCATGCCAAATGCTCAATGGCTGACAGGATCATTTTACTCCTATGAACAACCACTATGAAATGGGAAACTGCTTTAAACCAACAAACAACAAAACCCCCAAACCAACCCACAAAACCTAACAACAAACACGTAGGAAATGGAAAGAGGTCAGCACTGACTGAAGCCTGCCTTACACACATAAAAAGTGTAGTGCCTCTCTACTAACAAATGCTTTCATGAGCACGAAGAGCACGTGCATTTCTCCCCATGAAATGTCCTCTTCTTGAAAGAATATGCAAAGTCTACCATTTATTCTTTGCCCAAGGTGCAGACATTTCAATGCCAAACATATGCTTCATTACTACATAGTTGATACAACTTGCAAAGGCAAAGGGAAACAGTGAGGACAGTTGTGGTAAGAAAACAGCACAAGTTTTCAGATTTATCTGACCTTCACTGAAGAGTATCATCAAGCAAGATCAGAAGATAAAAGATTTTAAGTGAAACTTACATGAGTTGTATTTGTTCATGCTTGTTATTGCAACTGGCCTGTAGAAAAGTGTTATGGGTTTGTTTGCGTGGCAAGGTTTTGGTAGCAGGGGGGCTATAGGGGTGGCTTCTGTGAGAAGCTGTGAGAAGCTTCCCCCATGTCTGATAAAGCCAGGGCCAGCCGGCTCTTAGACAGACCCACTGCTGGCCAAGGCCAAGCCCATCAGTGACGGTTGGTAGCGCCTCTGTGATAACGTATTTCAGAAGGGGAAGAAAAAAAGCTGCAGTAAAATGGCAGTGAGGAGAGAGGAGTGAGACGATGTTCAAGAAACAACTCTGCAGACACCAAGGTCAGTGAAGAAGGAGGGGGAGGAGGTGCTCCAGATGCCAGAGCAGAGAGTCTTCGCTTGCAGCTCGGGACGAAGACCATGGTGAGGCAGGTTGTCCCCCTGCAGCCCATGGAGGTCCACGGTGGAGCAGATATCCACCTGCAGCCCGTGGAAGTGACCCCACACCGGAGCAGGTGGATGCCTGAAGGAGGCTGTGCCCCCGGGGGGAGCCCATGCTGGAGCAGGTTCCTGCCAGGACCTGTGGACCCGTGGAGAGAGGAGCCCATGCCGGAGCAGGTTTGCTGGCAGGGCTTGTGACCCCGTGGGTACCCACAATGGAGCAGCCTGTTCCTGAAGGACTGCAGCCCGTGGGAAGGATCCACGCTGGGGCAGTTTGTGAAGAGCTGCAGCCCGTAGGAAGGACTCATATTGAAAAAGTTTGTGGAGAACTGTCTCCTGTGAGAGGGACCTCATACTGGAGCAGGGGCAGAGTGTGAGGAGTCCTCCCCCTGAGGAGGAAGGAGCGGCAGAGACAACATGTGATGAACTGACCATAACCCCCATTTCCTTATCCCCCTGTGCCACTTGGGATGGGGGTGCACAAGGCAGAGAAACAGGAGTGAAGTTGAGCCCAGGAAGAAAGGAGGGGTGGGGGGAAGGTGTTTTAAGATCTAGTTTTATTTCTCACTGTCCTACTCTGATTTGATTGGTGATAAATTAAACTCCATTTTCTCCCCAAGTTCAGTCTGTTTTGTCCGTGACGGTAATTGCTGAGCGATCTCTCCCTGTCCTTATCTCGACCCTCGAGCCTTTCATCAGTATTTCCTCTCCCCTGTCCACCTGAGGAGGGGGAGAGATACAGCGGTTTTGGTGGGCACCTGGCATTTATCCAGGCCAAACCAAAACAAAAAGGAAGACCCAAACTTGAAAGTAATCAATGTACAGGCTTGGATTTTGTCATTAGCGTAGCATCAGTCCAAAGTTACAACAGCTATCACTCCTGCCAAGATATTAATTTTGTTTTAGTGTAGAAATAACACCACAGAGAAGAATATTCTTTTGCTACTTGGAAGCTGCAGATCAGTGCATCAGCAACAGAATAAGCAGAAAAGACTATGACCGAGGTGGAACAAGCTATAGGGCTGTAAGGCTGGCAAAGTGCGTGGTGTTGTACTCCATGAGCAATTCCCTGGACTGTACAAACTGCACTCCACAGAATACTCCTCTGTAAGATCATATTCTTCTTGAAACATTCCATTTAACATGGAGAGCACTGGGAGAAATCTCAGGCTTATTTAATTTTAGCTATGAAACAAGCTATAAAGGCATAGGAAAATGTGCTTGTGGAGAACTTTCTTTTAAAGGTTCATTTTCTATAGGCTCAATATGGTATTACTAACAACATTCTGATCAAAAAAAGAATGTTACCAAACATACATTTATTAACACTTCCAAGTTTTCCTGTCTGCATCTTCTCCTAAATGTCAAACACCATTCTGTTTTGTATTGGCATTATCTTGAGACATTACTGCATAAATACAGAACTCTACTGACATCACCCGAGAGCTCCCCTTCCAATGAATGGCTCAATGCCCAGCAGTCTGTAATTATTCACTGAACCAGTCATTAAGGAATTACCACTCACTCCAAAAAAAACTTCGTTCCCCCTCAGTCTCTGTGGAAGGAGTGGAATTTGCTAATAATTCTGTAAAGTATAATTTGAATTTCCTAACTAATTGCATTAACAGACATTCCTGCATTAAAGATTGTGGTCACAGTCTCACCAAATCTAGTAATTTAAGTTTTTTAAGTTGCAAAAACAATACTCTGTAAATGGTATTGAACTGAAACAAAAAGGCTGCAAACTTCACTGTTTCTACCAACTGAACCAGCAAACTAAAGAAAGCAGTTCTGAGAGCATAAGGATTAATGAAACCTGCTGTCACAGGACTGGATTCCTTGGTAACTGGTAAGACACTATCCCATCTGAAGTCTCCCCCAGCTGTGCTTTGTCTTTCTCCCCATGTAGAGTCACTGGGCCCGATAATGGGTTAGAGTTTGCAGTACAGCCCTGGGGATTTTCATATGGCATCGTTCATTCCCTCAGCCTCTTAGTTTCATAAAACTTATAGAAATGTGGGTATCAGACTTCTGTCTCTTTCCCCTCCCAACTCCCTTCCTCCCAGAAAAAGTTCTGCTGAAAATTAGATGAAAGCACTTAAAAGAATTATGGAGGATGAGGAAGGTAGGTAGCCATAGTTGCTATCTTGGATTTTAGCCAATGCAGCAAGACCTCTCTGTATTATTAATGAATATTCTGGGTAACATATACTACCACACCTGCAAAAAGCCTACTTCTATACCCTACGCAAATGAAATAGTTTTACGAGCAAGCGTCGTAAGGAGTAGTATTAGTATCCAGAGAATGTGGGAAGAGAAAAGAGGGATGACAAGAACAGTATAATTTAATAGGTACAGAAAGAATCAGTATTTGTGTTTTCAGAAAGTTCCTGGACTAC